TATTTTTTATTTATTTTTTGCCCACGGGTGAATCGATATTATTAATATTATATTATAATATGTTTATCAAATAATTGAAATTTATATTATTTTGGATTTGGACAGTGTCTAAATATATGGGACCATTTTCACACACACACACAAATTATTTTCCTTTTCTTTTTGCATGACATGGACCAGTAAAGTTAGGATTTATTAGGAGAATTAAATACTAAGTGTGATTTTTTTCAACCGGGTGTAATTTGTTGGGTTATTTAAATTAAAATTGGACAAATTATTAAAAAAGACGTGACCAAATTGTATGTTGCTGAAAAGATCCTTCGGTGGCATTATGTATATGATTTCTATTATATATCACTAATTGAATAAAACCATGATTGTAAATTATCTTATCCAATACTAACAAAAAATATTTTATTCAATTTGAAATTTTATTTCTTAAATTATTAAATATAGAATAATATAGAGATTGTAAACTACTTAAGTAAAAATTAACGTTGAAAATGTAAAAATAATTAGCTTTTATCTAATTACATTAAAATTAGCATTTACAATTAGCAAAACTTCAGCAAATAAAAATATTTTTACTGTACTATTTTACCGTATTTTCGTCGACGCACTGACATATCAGTGCGTTATGTATATGGGCATAAAAGAAGGCCCTTTAATTTGATTGAGAATGAGGCTTCATTCTTTTAAAGATGATCACAAGCACTTGCTTATTAGCATCTGATAGAACCCATGACACTTATTCAAAAAATCTCAACAGCTATAGCAAAAATTGAGTTGAGTCTTTGAAGTGTCAAACCGAACAAAGGATTCAATAATGACAAGTTCAATCCACAACATGATGAAATGACCATACTAGATAAGTATGAATCCTTGAACTCCTTAAAACTTGGAACAGCCAGTAGGACAGTTGCTTTACACAAAACCATGATCTATGAGCTTTTAATCTCGCAAGATCGTGACCTTCACCTGCAGAATGTTCTGGGAATCTCGATCACGTTCTTTTTTTTTGGGCCAGATCTCGATCACGTTCTTACTTAGACTAATGAGGGAAAAGAGTAAAATAAAGAGAAAAATGGACCAACAAGTTGCGGACAAAGCATGCAACATTTGGCCCAGCAGGATCTTGATTAACACAAACAAACCGCGCATATATATTACATATTTTATTCATCATCCTTCTAAACTGGGTTTTATGTATATATTGCTCGTGTTGGCATAGGATCCACCAGCAAAGCTGTAATGGAATCGTTCATGATTCCTTGAGTATGAGTGTAATTATCTTCTTCTTTGTAAAGCACCTCCATAACACGAGCCAGTTTCAGAACTGGCAATAAACAAGGCCTCACCACTTTCAAAAGGTCTTAGGAATTCTACATTCATATCCTACTACGCATTATCTGTAACCTTATGGAACTCATCGATGGCTTCTTCTCGACACCCCATGTTCTTTCATGTAGCAATCAAGCAACGACACAATGTGCCCTCGTTTCTGCTCAAACTGTACGTGTACATTCATAGAAAAGGTTCATGATGTCAATTCTCATCATGTCTAACATGTACAGAACCAGCGAGACTCTTGATGCACCTCACTGGAAACTATGTCGTCCATGGCCCTGCACCTGAGTGAATAGGCTTTCACTAGTTTTGGGCCACTTGTAACCCATTTGAACATGTCATCGGTGGCAATGTGCCCAGCCCAAAGAAAGATATGGTTGAGAGCATTTGAAAAGAATAAGATCTCGTTGCAGTGTCGAGATTCTCCTGTGTCGTTGGTACATAGTTTCCATTGAACCATTCGGCCTCTCTCATGAAGGCTCGGATCACCTTCTTCAGCTGCCATCAATGCATAACAGACATTTAGAAATATGAATCACCGATAGGATTTTTAGAATAAAAACAGTATGCGTCTATATATATATATATATATTAATGAAAGCTAAATCTTTAAATAATCATACTTTAGATTTTGCATAGTTAAGACTGCATTCTCTGCCTTCCTTCCACACGTGTGCCTCATAAATTAGCTTTATGTATTCTAGGAGATCATGCAGCAGATATCCAACCTTATAAAATCATTGATTGGTACTTATAATGCTCCAAATTAAAAAGCAACAATAGATTAGAACAACTAAGAAGGGCAAAAAAAAGAAAAAAACAGAGCCTTGGTTTTGAGTGTATTAGTATAACTTAAATCTCTCAAGTGCGCCAGTGAACATGGTTAACTCATCAATGGTTCATAAGCATCATAAGTATCATCAATGAGGGATAAAAGGGCCATCTCTTTGGTGAGAATGAATCTGCCCAGACAATATTGAGGCTCCTAATAAACTCCGAGAATCTAAAAGCAACTTTCCACAATCCCCTCCCTCAGATCTGATATATTTCTCGGCACATCCAAACTATTCCACCACCCAATTAATCTCACCAAATTATAACCCATTGGCTAATGGCTATGTGTATACACACACTATAATTAAAAGATAAGTTAGCCCAAACAATTTAGACCTGCTATTATAAGTTATAATAATGGCAAATGGTCCCTTTTCTTAAAAAAAAAAAAAAAAATTCACGCAAGTACAAAATTAAAGGTTCAAGGACTTGCTTGAAAATGTCTGCAACTTCTTTCCGACGTAACTTCTGAAGGGCATTGAAATCTAATTCTACCAAGGTTAGCAAGACTTCATTGTGAGAAGGATGCAGATGGTAGATAGAATTATACTTTCGAGCCTCTAGCCTTGGCAATCCCCTTTGGAGATATTGCCTAAAGCTAATATGAACTTGTTCACCAACAAAAGTGTTGGGTTCAATAGTGTTACTGATGGTCTAAAGCTGAGTGGAAGTGACAGCAGTTGCTTCGTCTAAGATGTCTTCTCCATGGATAGTCAGTCAGACGGGCAGCTTCGTGCAAATTCAGCATTCCTTCCACATCCTTTACTAATTCTCTCACTAAAGTTTCCTTCTTCATCTTTAAACTTGTCAAACACATCTGGTTGGCCCACATATATTCACAAATGGGTCACAATTTAATTTACTTTTACTGATTAAAGTAAAAGTATAACACCCATAAAGAAAGAAAGCATGAAACAAGCATGAACAGAGAAAAGCAAAAGCATGAACACACACACACACACACAGCCCCTGAAGAGGGATAGGCATATTGAAGGAAGTAATCGGTCCAAATAGAAGGATGAAAATCTTCGCAACGTCTTCCAAGATGGGACTTGGTGGCATGTTCTGTTGAAGGAGGGGCAGCAAATAATGTTGAAGCTGTAACAATAGACGTCCTCAATAATGATTCTTCCTATATATCCCTCTTCTTGGCTTTTTATCTTGTGTTCCTATTTTCAGAAAAGGACCAGTTTGTGCTGTCTCAACAACATTGATCTTTCTCATTGAAATTTTAGAATATTTTAATCTTGTGGTATATATTAAAGTGTTATTCCTCCTAGTTTTACTTTTATTTGTAAACTAGCTATATGCTCTTGTGGTGTGTGGAACTCTTTCCTAATTATGAATTAAAAAGCGCGACAGGGTAGGTGTGCATGTGATGGCCTAAAATGTTTGTTACCGTATCGTGTGGTTACGCATAACCTACACGGGTGTTCTTATAATGTATTTTTGCTGCAAGCCATAATAAGATTTAGATCTAGTGTTAGGCGCTTCGATAATAATTATTTCACTTGCATCATAAGTGTGTGGGTAGGTTAATGAATAATGATTCAATTATGTAACGTGTTATGGTCTGGTCCGACCCCCTGTTTAAAAAAGAAAACAGAGAGAAAAAAACCAGAGAGACATGTGGCTTCCATTTCACCCAGGAGGGAAAAAATTATCTGCACAAGGCAACTCGTGAAAATCCCTAAGTAATTCATGCACAATCAATTTCCTTCTCCACGTCTAGGAACGTATAGCCCAGTTTTTTCAACAAAAAATTAAAAAACCAGAGAGAGGAGCTTATTTCAATGATGCATGCAATGCAACTAGGGTCCAAGTTCACATGCTTCGTGAAGATAATGATTTAGAGCTGAGTTATTGTAATTTCATGGCTTGTTTTCATAATTTTGGAACTTTTATAATAATAAAATGAATAAAAAAATTACCATGCCTATTTAACATAAAATAATATTATTTCATATTAATATAAAGATTTCTGGGGGCAAAATTAGTCATGAAGATAATAAATTGAATATTGCGAAATTATTATTCAATCAAACAAATATTAAAAGAAAATCAAGTGAAATCAAATAATTTAAATACACTCACTTCATTAAAAATGTAATATATTTTTAAGAGAATAGATATTAAAAGGCATAAGATATTTTTAGTCTTTTAAATTGTAATTAATATGTTTTTCTTTAAGAGTGCTCATAATAAATAAACTACTCCATATTTATTTTAAAGTAAGATATTCTATTAAATATAAAAAAATAATATTAATTTATTGGCAACTAAATACTTTATTAGAGGATGATATTTAGTTAAAAAAAAAATCTCACTTTTCTTTTTGGGTAAAGGAATCTCACGTTGTTTAACAGAAAGAGTATTGTTAATCAGGTTTAAATTATGGGCCTGATTAGCATTAGAGTACGGACTTGTGAAGAGTCATTAGGTTGGGCCAATGAAAACCAAAACATAATTTGTAGACTTTGGGCTTGGGCCTGCTCATTGGCATCCAGAGAATGAACTATTTAAAACTGTCGCACAATAATTGAGTGCCTGTAACTTATTAGTTTTCATTCCCGTAACATACCTGATGGGTGTCAAATGTCAATGCAGTGGGTCCACTTGTTCCCAATTAAAGCCTCCTTTAACTTACAAATTGATGCATGATGCTTAATTAATCTGTTGTCCATAGATAAGATCTTGCCATCAAGTCACTCTGTTATTATTATTATTATTTTTGGAAAGATGTTACATTTTAACTGAATCTCAAAAGTTAAATTTGGAAGTCTTATTCATTTTATTATATTTTAATTATTAAACACAATTTTATTCAACAGTTTAAGTACACTTACACCAGTACATCTTAAAAATAATATACTTTTGCCCAGATATGTAAGATTAATAAGTAAGAACAAGTTGCTCAAATTGGCACAGGGTCTAGAATTACAAGTTGAATAGAGTCCTTCATGATTCCTGCAGAATGCGTAAAGTTATCAGCATCCTTGTAAATGACATCCATGAATCGAGCAAGATTGAGAACTCTCATCAGAATGGGCTTTGCCACTTGAGTTGGTCTCAGACATTCCTGGTCCACATCCTTCCATGCACTCCTAATCATCTTCTCTAGTTCATCTATGGCGTCCTCTTTCGACACTCCATGTTCCTTCATGTAGCATTCTGTCAGTGACGCAACGTGCCCTCTTCTCTTCTCAAACTGCACAAATTAACCCCAAAGTTAATTTAATTTCTGGTTCAAAAGAAGTAATTAATTTGTGTATATATAGTTATGATATACCTCACTGGAGACAATGTCATCCATGAGTCTGCAAATAACTGGAGAAGCTTTGACGACTTTAGGGTGAGTTTGGGCCCACTTGAAGATATCCTCCGAAGCTATGTTTCCCATGCCCAGAAAAGAAGTCGTAGAAAGCGCTGGATAACAAGTTGTTACGGTTGATACGTTGATGTACTCCTCTGTTGTCGGAACATGGTTCTTATTTAACCATCTTGCTTCCGTCATGTAGGCTCGCACAGCCTTTTTAAACTGTCAATACAGGTTTCACATCAACGGTCACATCTTGTTAATCAAGGATATATAGTAAAACAACATCATCATGATCATCATACCTCATGTTTGGCATAGGGAACACTGTATGATCTCCCTTCCTTCCTCATGTCTTCATCTATTTCTTGGAAAACATTCAACACTTCCTTGTAAACTAACTTGATGTATTCTGGGAGATCATTCAAGCAACAAATATCCCACCTGTAAGCATTAAAACAGTTTAACTTTGAGCGTAGTAAAATTAAAGCAGAAAGGGAGAGAATGTATACAGTTTCAACGGGGTAATTAAACCTCTGGATTGCCTCGGTGAGGAGTTCTAGCTCGTCAATTGTTCCATAGGCATCGTATGTATCATCAATGATGGATAACAGGCCAATTACTTTGGTCATCATCCTTCTAGCTTTAGAGTACTGAGGCTCAAAATAAACCGTGAGAACCCAGAAGCATAATCCCACGATCCTGTTTCTCGCGTATGATACATTTCTTGGCACATCCAATTTGTTCCACCACCTAATAATAATTAGGCAAATACAAGTATCTCGCATTCACGTCAAACAAATTAATCTATCCAAGAAGCTAAGCTCAAGAACTCACTTGCAGATATTGCCGAACTCTTTCTGATGCAGTTTTTGGAGCATATTGAAATCTAATTTTGCCAGCATCAGAAGAACTTGATCACAGGAAGGATGAAGGTGGTATATGGAAATGTACTTTCTTGCCTCAAGCCTTGGCAATCCCCTGTAAGGACACTGCTTTAAGCTTTGTTGAAGTTTTTCTGCAAGAAAAAGGTTTGATTCAACTGTGATGGAGCGAAGACGATTCCAAGTGAAAACAAGTGCTTCGTCCAAAATGTCCTCTCCATGAACACTGAGATATGCAGCTTCATACAGACTCAGCATTCCTTGGATATCTGATGCCATCTTTTCACTAAAGTTTCCTTCATCATCCTTGAACTTGTTGAACACATCTGATAGTAATGGTATACATATTTAAATTTCAGCTATTAACAGAACAAATTGAAGGAAGCAAACTCATGGTGGCACACACACACACCAGGTGAAATGGGATATCCTTGTTGCCTCAGTAGCTTAAAAAGTAGAGCAAGAGAGTTGAGATCTTCGGTATGAGTTAGGATTTGATTGTCTTCCACGTAAGCATTGTGAATTTGGTGCAAGAGCCCATCGATCTCATGTTCAAAATGGTACGACAATCCCAGACGTTGAATTGAATCAATCAGTTCAAGTTTGGTTATGAAGGGCTTCTCCATCGGAGATATAAGCATCTTCCTCACTTCTTCTTTCACCGTTTCAACTTGTTTCCCCATTTCCTCATCAACTTCCTGCACAGTTTTCAAAGAACTCGCCATTATCAAGTAAACCAAGATAACAAGATCATGATCACTTAATTATATTTTCAATGATATCACTTGATCTCTGCGTAAATCCGAAATAGCACAAGTAGAAATCCTTAATTACCAAAGATTCGGAAGCATATTGAAGGAAATAATCGTTCCAAAGAGAAGGATGATAATCTGCAAGATGTCGACGCAAATCAGATGTGATGGCAAGACCATGGGTTGATGAAGAAGGAACAAGTGTTGTTGAAGCAGAAACCATAGACATCTTGTGACTATATCCTTAATTAGAAACAAAAAAAAAAGGTGGTTTTTGTAGTTTGCTTCAATTTTGACGTTTGGACGCGATGTATTTATAGAAAAAGTTAAAGCATCCATTCATTAGATTATTCTTCTTAATCCTCAAACATTTATCATGATATTTAGAATTGGCGGGTTACTCTTTTAAAAACATAGAACAAAAGAAATGGCTGTGCACACATCATGATATTTTTCTCATTTTATTTTATGTTGATTCGCTAAGGAAAACAATATATGTGTGAAAAGAAATAATCATGACTGATAACCTTCATGGTTAGGCTAAAGTCAGCAGTAAATTTTGGAATTTTTTTTTTTTAAAACAAATGTCATTGGGAAGAGTTGAGAATATGAATTGGACTTGTTGAGCTATTCATTTAAGCTTTATTTTTCAAGCTTGGGAATTGAAAATTAAGGCATTTTTGTATAAAATGGTTTTTGAATTCAACCCATTTAAACCTTAAAAAAGTATACTCGAACTACTTGTTTAAGCACATATTGATTTTAATACTAAAAAATTGAAGTATTTTAACTATTTCAATTAAGTTTAAACTTTAAAATATGTGTTTGGAATTTAAAATTGAGATCTATATTACTTATTTTGAATTTTGTAACATTATAATTTATATAATGACTATCTAATACTATAATTAAAAAAATTTGGGCTCATACCCAAGACCAGTTAATAAGAATCGATTTTAAAAATGATTAAATTTAGAATGAAAGAACTTTATGACTTAACGTCAGATGAGTCGGACCTACCACCATTGAGGTACCCAACTTGCATGATTTTTTATTCGTGTATTGCGTTTCTATTAGGATTAGGATATACAAAGCCAGAAATGGGTCCACTATATTTTTCACGGGTTTCAACGAAGTGGGCCCACATATGATATTGTCGACCAAGATCCTTCAAACACAATCTACAAATTTGGGGCCCTGCTGACAATTCAGAGCCTCCATTATTGTCATTTCTGGCCCAACAATTAAAGCCACGGAAGGGCAAAGAGGGAACGGTGTTCTTTTGGAAATATTAATGATAAAAAAACAATATTTTGAATTTAAAACGAATCCATAGACCTGGTTTACCATTTAAATTTATTTCATTGCGTCAATCACTTTATGCAAAATAGATTCAAATGATCTAGAAATGATCTAGATTTGATGATGATGATGATGATGATGATGATGATGATGATGATGATGATGATGATGATGATGATGATAAGGCACTTATAAATATAATAAGTACCTAAACAACACCCACTCAAAATCTCAATCCAGGAATAATTGATGTATCATGGTTAAGCTAATCAAACTAAGGGTTAAGTTGATAAAAACTAATTGTGGTCAATAATAAGAAAAAAAAAAGACAAATAAAGACCCTAGTAAAGCAAAACATCACCTGATCATATAAACACCATTGATAGTTGAATTTTGAAAGTGTAAATCATACTCATAAATTCATTGTCTTTCCCTTTAATTAAGTGAACAAGACATAAAAGCAAATTGAATCAAATAATCGCTCGTCTCCTGGAATTTATAGCATAAAGCCTTCTTGGGTTTTATGCGCACCTAATTGAATTTAGACTTTGATATGACAATATTTAGTGCTCATTGCTAGGGCCAGCACCAAAATAATCCTCTGTCCTCGTATCATTTAGACTCAGTACATGTTTATATTGCTAATTGATCTGGTGACGACGGTTCCATCGGAAGGCAAGTGTTCTTCTTTTTTTGGAGATAATCTTGTCAGATAAAATATCTAATACATTCATAGACATGAGGTTTTTTTCCAAAAGCTATAAACTAATAAAAGTGAGTTGAAGAAGCTCTATTTTTTTTCTTTTTTAAAAGACTAGGATTGAACTTGAATTTCGCTCCGATGACCTATTCATTCCACTTGATAGCTTCTTCTTCTTTGTTTTTTTAAGTGGAAAAAATTGCATCTAAGATCTAATGTACTTTAAATTGTTTCTGTGGAACCAAATATCCCAAATGCAAATATGTTTTAGTCTATTAAATAATAAAAGTTTTTTGATTAAACTATCTTATATTTTAAGACATTGAATTACTTCCAAAATTATTTTATATACTAGGATGGAAGGAGTATATTGGTCAGAGTTAAGTAAGACTCCCCTCTTAAGTCTTAACATACTAATTCCCTTCGTTTATAGTTAAAAGGAAAAAAAAAAATTTCTGGAAAGTGATTTATTTCTATTTATAAGATAAATTAAAAAATTTGATAAATATTTAATATTTTTTAATCAATATGGTCTTATTAAATGCATGAAATGATTTGCTATAAATGCTGCCTTCCTCATTAAAGATTTACAAATAAATTGGACATTAGATAAGGGTAGAATTGAAAAAAATAGAAATAGATGTAAGGTATAAATTAATTATTTTTTGGTTGAAAAATGAATAAATTAATTAACTTAATTTAATCCGTATGCAAAATTTAACTTATTTTATCTTATAAATAGAAAAATAAATATGAATGGGTCTTGGGCTTCGTGAAAGTAGGCAAGTAGTTTTGGTAAGTTTAAAGAGTGGATTGAAAGTAAAGATTATTTACCCACGAATATTGATGTTGTGCTTGGTTGATGAAAGAAAATGAGAAGAGAAAAGAATAGAGTGATATGATTTTTTTATTATACTTGGCTGAACAAAAAAAAAACAAAAAAGTGGCAAAAATTATAAATTTTATATTAACAATAATAACTTTATTATATATTTGTAGAAAAATATTTATATATAATAAAACTTAATTAATAATTTAACATTTTATTTATATAATTTCTATTATATATTACCAATTGAATAAAATTTTAATTGCAAATTAATTTATCCAATGTTAACAAAATTAAAATATTTTATTCAATTTTAATTTTTAATTTCTAAATTATTAAGTGTATAATAATCTAAAAATTTTAAACCATTACTTAAGTAAAAATGAACCTTGAAATCATAAAATTAGATTTTATCTAATTACATTAAAATTAGCATTTAGAATGAGCAAAACTTCAAGAAACAAATATTTTTACTGTACTATTTTATTGTACTTTTGTTGACTCACTGGTTTTACAAATAACTAGAACTAGAATTAATTCGGTGCATTGCATGGTCTTTTAATTGAGAAAACATGTATCAAAATTTTTTTATATTAAACAAAATGTTTTGATCTAAAATGGTTCTCGTGCAATGCTCGGGGTTTGATATAAAAAAATCATAAGAAGTAATATAGATAATAACATTTATAAAATTTTAATTTAAGTAATAATGTTGTCTTGTTAGATAAAATGAAAATTTTTTTGCATGTTTTTGTGTGTGTGTGTGTATTCAATTTTGAGGCTAAAAAATGAATGAAAGTTTTTTTCTCAAAATAATTGAATACGTTCTGTTAAAGAATAATAGATTTTCTAGTCGCACCTCATGTTGCAATATGAAAGAAATATTTCATGTAACATTAAGGAAAAAATGCTGACAAAAAATGATAACAATGTCTTCTAATCGGTTACAAAGAGAATCCCTTAACTTAAGACTGATTATTTTTTGAGCACCACACCTATTGTATAAGTTTTGCAGGTTATCACTAGATATAGCAGCATGATGCATATCCATTAGGTTGTGATTTCTTGCAATTTCCAGTTGGAGGTTTGTTTTTTTTGAGCAACACACCAAGATTTGTGATTTGGTAAGGATGATAGGTAGGTGCAGCAAAGCTGATATGTGATAGTTTGTTTAGTCTTGTTTGTTGCCTTATAATATATTCGCTACCATTATGTCTTCAGCAAATCACATGATGTGAGAGTTAGAGAAATCATGTCATGAATTGCTAGCAAGTTAGATGATATCTTTAGATTTCATTCGTTCATAATCCCTTATTTTCTATGTAATTATGCATATGCCGTGTACTTCTCCTTCAATGTGTTAATACTAATTTTATATAATATTTATATAAACCCCGTTATGCACAATAATAGTTTACATTCTGAATTTTTGAATTTTGTACTCTGACTAGGTCCCTTTAAGTTATGAGTTACTAATTCAGCTTTCCCATTATACATTTTGTATTAGCTTTGTCTTGTCAGCACGTTTAAGCAGTAATCGTTAAATATGTAACTCTTTGCTTTTCAGGTTTTTCAATGCAGCAAGTTTTAGATTATTGAAGCATAACCTCATTCATTATTATAGATTGTGATAAGTTTTGTTCTCCTCACATTGAATGAAAGCTATTTCAGCAGCCAAAATTAATTGTTACCCTTATTGAATCACCATGTTGAGCCAATGACAAATTCTATTTATTTTTTTCTTTAATGTTTATCAAAGATTATACTCTTACTGAATCACCATGTTAATATCAATCGTTCATGATGCTTATGATTAGAATACTCTTTTTTAAGTTTCACATTGTAGTCTATTAATATATGATTATCTTTTCAAGCATAATTAATTTGTTATGTTGTTACAGCATGTATATGTTGGAGGGAAAGGAAAGCCTCAGGAAAGGAGCCAAATCATATGAAATGATTAAAGCATGGCTATGCAACTAAATGGGATCGGAGTTGCTAATTAGATAGATTCTTGGATATATGATAAAAGTGACAAGATATACTTTGTTGATACTCTATTTTCATTAAAACTATGCATTTGTAATTTTGATTGTTTTCATCTCCATTTTGAAAGTGTGTGATGGATATACTTTTATTGAATTGGCATCATTTTTACATGATATTAATGGCTCTTTTAGTTTTGCAATATATAATTTTATGATTTGTTTATCTAGGGGGGTATTTTGTCTCTTTATATATGTAAGTTTGTTATCTAAATTAATATTAATATTTCTGATATTATCTAATCAGATATTATACAACATACTTCTATAACTATTTTTATTTTGTTATAAAGAGTATTTCTATGATTGACAACAGTAATGGAATGAGAGAAATTTTTTCATGGTTTAGAAAATTGATAACTTAATGTTAGAT